CTTCAGAGGAAGCCTGCCCCAGAAGAGTTAGTAAAGAGAGTCCTTAAGGCTGAAATTAATACCAGGCATAAATTGAATCCATATGAAGAAACAAAGAACACCAGCAAAGATAACTACATAGGTAAATATAAAAGACAATACATATATATTTCTTATTTATAATTCTTCTTTTCTCCTATATTATTTAGAAGACAACAGCATAAATAAATAACTTTGGGTACATAATCATCAGATGTAATTTATATGACAACAGCAAAAGTGAGAAAAGAATGGAGCTGTATAGGAGCAAAGTTTTTGTATACTATTGAAATAAGATGGTATGACTCTGAACCAGATTGTTATAAGTTAAGGTGTTAATTATAATCCCGAGGGCAACCACTAAGAAAATAACTCAAAAACTAGTAGGAGAAATGACAAGAGTATTAAAATGGTTTGCTAGAAAATATTTAACACAAAAGAAGGCAACGATGGAGGGATAGAGGAACAGAAAAGACATAAGCCATAGAAAACAAGTAGGAGGGCCAGCCCCATGGCTTAGCGGTTAAGTGCACGCGCTCTGCTACTCGCAGCCCGGGTTCGGATCCCAGGCGCGCACCGACACACCACACCGCTTATCCGGCCATGCTGAGGCTGCGTCCCACATACAGCAACTAGAAGGGTGTGCAACTATGACACAACTATCTACTGGGGGCTTTGGGGGGGGAAAAAAAAGGAGGATTGGCAACAGATGTTAGCTCAGAGCCGGCCTTCCTCAGCAAAAAAGAGGAGGATTCAGCAGGATGTTAGCTCAGGGCTGATCTTCCTCACCAAAAAAAAAAAAGGAAAAAGAAAACAAGTAGCAGACATAAATCCTACCTTATTAGTAATTACATTAAATGCAAATGGATTAAACACTCTAATCAAAAGGCATAGATCAGCAGCATGGATTTTTAAAAATCTAACTATATGCTGTCTATAAGACACACACTTCATATTCAAAGACACTAATAGGTTGAAAGTAAAAGGATGGAATAAGATATACCATGCAAACGGTAACCACACAAGAGTTGGAATTGCTAGGCTGATATCAGACAAAACAGACTTTTAGGACAAAAATTGTTATAGGAGTCAAAGAAGGACATTTTATAATGATCAAAGGATCAATCCATCCAGAAGATATAACAATTATAAGCCTGTATGCACCTAACAACAGAGCCCCCACCTACATGAAGCAAAAACTGACAGAATTGGTGAGAGAAATAGATAATTCACCAATAATAGTAGATGTCAGTACCTATAGTGTAAGCCCTGACAGTGGCCTTTCTTTTGTAATGCAAGTACCTAACTTAAGCTTTGATTGCTGAAGCATCCACTTCAGAGAGGCATCTGCTTCAATGAAGGCTATCTCCAGTAAATACATTGTCAGCCACACAACTAGATAAGTGCCTACCATCACCACCATGACCGTGAGGCTCCTGGTTGATTTAGATAACTGGCCCTTTGGGCTGCTTGGTTTTTTTGTTTTCTTTTCCTTTTTCCCCCCTTGCACTTAAATTCCTGCTCTTATGTTTTAAATTTGCCAATAAAGAGCAAGCCTGCGAAACCCTAGATCCCCACCCTCAGCCCCAACAAAAGCAGAACCCCAGGCCCCTGCTTGCTCGCTCACTGTCTCTACCTGCAACCTCACTGTGTGCTCCCTGGTGTGCCTGTACACTCCAGGGCCTGTAAGTAATAAACTTTTTTTTTCTTCAGAGTTTTCTAATGGTTATTGCTGAAGGGCATCTTGTAATCATAATAAGAACCACGAGGTTCGGTCCAGTCATAACATTGGTTTGGAAAGGGGAATGGGAAACTCACTGGGGCCCAGGTGAGCGCTCCTAGGCATTTCTAGCTGGTAGCACTACTATCATATAGGCTGAGACTGGCACCAAACAGCCCACTTTCAGTACTGAGTAGAGCAGCTAGACAGAAGATCAGCAAGGAACTAGAAGATTTGAACAACACTATAAATCTACTAGACCTAAGAGATATTTATAGAACATTCCACTTAACAATAGAATACTTGTTCAAGTGCACATGGAACATTTTCCAGGATAGATCATATATTAGGCTATAAAACAAGCCTCAATAAGGGGTTGAAATCATACAGAGTATGTTCTCTGACTACAATAGAATGAAACCAGATATCAGTAGCAGGAAGAGTTTCGGGAAATTCACAGATATGTAGAAATTACACAGCTCACTGCTAAACAACCAATAGGTCAAAGAAGAAATTCAAAGAAAAATTTAAAAATACTTTGAGATTAATGAAAAGAAAAACATAGCATACTAAAACTTATGCAGCTAAAGCAGTGCTTAGAGGGAAATTTATAGCTGTTAAAGGCTATACTAAAAAATACTCAAATCAATAACCTAACCAGAGAAACTAGAAAAAGAAAAGCAAACAAAATCCAAAGCAGGCAGAAGGAAGGAAATAATGACCAGTAGAGCAGAAATAGAAAATAGAAAAGCAAGAGAGAAAATCAACTAATCCAAAAGTTGGTTCTTTTAAAAGAGCAACAAAATTGACAAACTTCTGGCTGGACTGACCAAGAAATAGAAGACTCAAAGTATTAAAATCAGGAATGAAAGAAGCAACCTTACTATGAACCTTGCAGAAGAAAGCACTATTATAAGGGAGTACTGTGAACAATTTTATACCAACAAATTAGATATCCTAGGTGAAATTGACAGGTTTCTAGAAAGACATAAGCTACTCTTTCAAGAAGAGAAAGAAAATCTGAATAGACCAATAACAAGTAGAGATTGAATTAGTAATTTTTTAAAAAATTTACCATAAAGAAGAGCCCACAACTAGATGGCTTCCCTGGTGAATTCTACCAAACGCTTGAAGATGAAATAAATAACACCAATACTTCATTAACTCTTTGGAAAAATAGAAGAGGAGGGAACACTTCCCAACTGATTCTGTAAGGCCAGTATTACCTTGATACCAAAACCATACAAAGACATCATAAGAAAATTATAGACCAATATCCTTTATGAATATAGATGCAAGAATTCTCAACAAAATACTGGCAAACTGAACCCAACAATGTATAAAAAGGATTATACACCATAACCAAATAGAATTTGTTCCAAGAAAGCAAGATTGGGGGCCGGCCCCGTGGCTTAGTGGTTAAGTGCGCCCGCTCCGCTGCTGGCGGCCCGGGTTCGGATCCCGGGCGCGCACCGACGCACCGCTTCTCCAGCCGTGCTGAGGCCGCGTCCCACATACAGCAACTAGAAGGATGTGCAGCTATGACATACAACAATCTACTGGGGCTTTGGAGGGAAAAAATAAATAA